AAGAAATTTTTCTGAAATAAAGATGGAATCTTCCTTGTTTCAGGAAATTTACAGAATGATAAAACCAAGTTATTCTCATAATGATGTTTAGTGAACTTTAAAACATTATAGGAACATCTATACAAGTACTCAGTGTTAGAAGACAGTGAAACAGTGTCTACAAAGTTCTGAAAAAATATAACCTAAGAATTTTATACCTAGTCAAAATGTCATGGATTGACATTTTTAAATATTTGGAAACTCAGAGACTGTAGCACCCTTTTTGACAGTCCTATTTGGTAATGAATCTGGTAAACTAAAGAATCAATAAAAAGATCTCTAGAATGGAGAAATTGTGATAAAAGGATTTGTAGTGAGTATTAAATTTATTTGATATAAAACTATAAAATATTTGGGAAGAGATGTGTAAATGTGTTAATTTCCACATCTTTCATAGCAGGGTGACAGTAGATACTAGCTTTAAAATAGATTCATGTATTATGAGCAAAACATGACTTAATGTTTTTATAATATTTTTTAACTTTAGAGGGTTAAGAACCAATAATGACAACATTTACTTCAAGATTCATATATTGAACACATGAATGTTGTGTGCTTACTATATGTCAGGCAGTATTGTAGGCATTTGGGATATATCAGTGAACACAATAGATGACAGTGTCTTTCCCTCATGGAGATTATACTCTAGCAGAGTTACACAGACATAAATAAGTGATATAGTATAAATGATTCCTGCTTGGGGAGAAAAAGAAGTGTAAGAAGGGTTTTGGGTTACAAATGCGATCAGGGTTTGCTGAGATGACTTTTGATCAGAGATTTAATTGTGTGATGTCTGATAGACATCAAAGACATGCAAATCTGAATTTGGGAAACAGGACTACAGTGGAGGTGCAAAATTGTTGGCATATAGATGAAATTTAAGCTCTGGGATCACCAATGCAGTGATTGTAGATAAACCAAGACCAAGGGCTAAGCCCTGGGCTGATAATAGAGATTTGAGGAGAGAAGAGAATTTAGAAAATAGGAGAGGGGGAAAGTAGCAGAAAAGGTCCAACTACAGGTTCAGGGTCTTGAATTCAAAGTGAAACCATCAGAGTGTGTGTGCGTGCACACACACACACACACAACAAGATATAGCTGCACAGATGCTAGTGCAGAGGCAAAGAGGAAAATTACGTTTAGCTGAGTTTGTGGTTCAGCCAAGCCAGTATGATGAAATGAAGAGGGATGGGGCAAGGGATTGGAGAGCCAGGGAATGGAATTGACCATGGAACCAAAGTTTGAGTAAATTCTAGTAATTTTTGTTTAAAAAGAGCATATTACAGTATTCAATTTTCATTAAAATTGTTCATTCTTTTTATTTATAAATATGTCTAGCAATATCTGAGTAATAATCTGTACATTCTATTGATAGTTCCAGGTGGTAGGATTTTGAGCATATTTTTTCTTAATCTGTATAATTTCTACAATAAGCAGTATATATATTTTAAAGCAAAGTTGCAGAGGCATCAAGGAATGCAAGTAACATTAAGTTCAGGGTGCATGGGATAATCTGGAAGCTGAAAGCAGGAGGCAGTTTGGTCAGAGGTCAGTTACTAAGTCAAATTTTTCTGCAATTTTGAAGTATAAAATGCTGGATCAGATGTAAAGGTTATTAATATGTAAGGCTTGAGGAAACTGATACCAAGTTTATTTTTTTTAAATAGAAACAACTGGGAAGGAAGTTTACTAACATAGTGATAGAATCGCTGGTTGGTAGGACTATTCGTGATTTTTTTAAGCACTAAATTTTATACAGTGAACATATAATATTTCTTTAAAAAAATCAGAAGATGAAAATAAAGGGCTGGATTCTAAAGACAGGCACCTCCTCTGTCTCCCATCCCTCACTTAACTAGCTCACTGACTTTGGGCAAGGTCACGTACCATCTCAGAGCCTTTATTTCTTCATCTGGAAAAGATGAGAATCAAATGGAATAAAAGTACAAAGAAATGATAAGAGAATTGTGAAATGCCATGCAAATGGCAGTTATTATTAGAAATAGTCTTAATTTTCCAGAAATTATGCTCTTATATTTTGGAGAGGCCGTATTCTAAGCTCCAGTTCTTCATTTATTAGAAGAAGGCACTTAGGCAGAAGTCATGTGTATGATGACTCAGTTTTATCGAAGCCTTCTTTGTTTTTAGAAATTCATTTTTAATGGTAGCTTTAAAATCACAGTGAAATTTTGAATACTTAACAAGACCATCAAAATATTTTTTAGAACAAATCACTTCTATAATATTTCATACTTTGAATAATTTCATAGATTGAGTTAGTGGGGCAAATTCTCAAGGTGAAAATCTGAAGGTGAATTCTACTTTTGTCAAATGATAGAGTAGTTGTGCTCAGCTTAGGTAAGCCTGTATATTTGAAATGTGTTTCCCACACATTTCTAAAAGCAAACAGAAAGGTCTTTTACTCTAAGTTACAGGTAAATACATGACATTTTGCAAGCTCCAGAGTGATTAGATTTTCCAGTCATCAAAGGTTTTATCTTAAGAGTGCTGACAAACTAAAGTTTGCAAAAACAGCTAGCCTGACCTTGTTCTTTGTAAACACAAGGACATTTGATCTTTTAGTACTTGTTAGAATCAGTTTTGACAAACCTTGCCTAAAGAGGCCAAGCTTCATCAACAATATCAACTATCAGAGATGAGTTTTCTGAAGACATAACAGATTTACTCAAGACTCTCCTGCTAGCTTGGCGAGATCTTCATCCTTCTAATGCTGTTTCAGTTTAAAATTCCAAAGCCACCTTTAAGAAAATAACATTGGCTTAGTCAGCCAATGTCATAAAAATATTTAGCTATGGAAAAGGGTAAATATACATCAGGCCGGAAATAAGGACATAATGCCGATTCTTTCCCCCTACAAACCATTTTTATAAAGCATAGTCAAGATAACTTGAATTTAGATAGTTATGTGCAGAGTTCAGAGAACCTCTCTTTGTTTTTTAAACTGCAAAGGGTTTAACCAGCTGGTCTCTTTGACCCTTCATATCATCGAGCTTGTCCTACATGAGCTCATTTTCTCTAGCTTCTCAAGCTCTTAACCCAGTCTGCTATTCTCTCACTGATATGGTAACCAGAGTCCTTGCCTCCTATTTCATATCTCAGTTGAAGCCACCAGCCATGAACTCCTCCAACTTTCTGCATTATAATCTTTCTCCTTTCTCTAAACACAACATAGCGAGTCTCATCATGTTTACCTCCTCAAGTCTCAGAAGGATAGCATATTTTTCCTCCTATTTAAGGAATATTCCTTTATCTTTGCACCTAGTTTCATCTCCTTTTTCCTCTAAGATCTTGATCCAGAAATTTTACCATGTCTGGCTTCAGCCTCTCACTTTCTAGTGTATTTTCTCCTACAGATTGAGCATACATGACTTTTTATCAGTTTAAACAGACAAACGTTCTTGACTCTGCAACCCATTCTAGTTACTGCCCCTTTGTTCTCCATTTAAATTCATACCTTTCATTGAGTCCTCAACTTAACTTTAACCTGACCCCGTAAGCCTTCACTGCACTGCTTTT